AGGTTTATTTAAATTAAAGAAATAAAAGATAAAACTAAATGGGTATTGAAAGGTAGAAAAAAAGAAAATCAAAACAATTGTAGAAGGTTTATAGAAATCTTATGTGGTCAAGGCTAACTGAGACTGGATGGATCTGTTTATACAATTTTATTAAAAGTAGGTTTAATATTAATAATACAAGGATAAAACTTGTGTTTCTTTTTTTAACAAGATTTTCATATAGCATTAGTAAGAGATATTAAATGGTCTTTGCTTACCTTTTGAGTAAATTGCAAAAACAAAAGGGAGGAGCAGGAGGGAGAAACAGTTTCATGTTGTCTCTATTATGTATTTTGATTGTTTGGATAATTGACTGTCCCTTTTATCACAGAGTATACATTTTGTCTTTCTGAAATTTTATGAATTATCACTTTGGCTAAATGAGTGACTATTATTTTATGATGGCCCATGATCCTGTTTTGAAATCAAGTGTTTTAAACCTTTGATATCTGACAAACTTCCCCAAATCAAATCAAATTCTAACTTAAATCTTTTTTGTTCTTAACTAACTTTTGAATATCAGGACCTCTGGCAATCCAAATAGCACCCTGGAAATTCAAGAAAGACATATTACACTTATTGGATATTTTAAAATCATATGGGAAGCATTGTAAAATGAGAAATGTTGTGTAACTTTCTTCTAGGTATATTTGTATAAATATGTCATTATTAATATAGATCCCAAAATTGTATGAAATTCCTAAAACTCTAATTAATGTCTTGGTATAAGCAGTAAATTGCTTTATTTTGATGCTTTTCTTTTCTCCTAAAAACTCTTTGAAAATGCTAAACGGTTGTGTTTTCAAGAAAATTCATGGAAAAGACCATGACAAGTACTCCTTAATACAGGTTTCTTATAATTTTTTTTTTTTTTTTTTTGAGTTGGAGTCTCACTCTGTCGCCCAGACTGTAGTACAGAGGCCGCTCCCAGCCACCGCAGCCTTGATCTGCTGGGCTCCGGTGATCTTTCTGCCTCAGCCTTCCAAGTAACTGGAACTATAGGCGTGTGCTACCACGCCCGGCTAAGTTTTGATTTATTGTAGAGATGAGGTCTCACCAAGTTGCCCAGGTGGGTCTCGAACCCGCAGGCTCAGGCAATCCACTCACCTCAGCCTCCCAAGGCGCGGGATTACAGGTTGAGCCACCGAGCCCGGCTGCTTTCTTCTAATTTTAGAGCTCATACCATGAGACAAAGCAAAAGCTTCCAGACCTCTAAGAAAAAATTGATAGGTTCATGAAGATTGCTAATTCAACTTAAAGCAGAACAAAAGTTAATTTTATGAGATTGAATTGAGAGAGAACTGAGATAGTTTTTATGGCTTATTTCTGTTCAAAATATTGCTGATTTTTCTGTTTTGTTTTCCAGAGTCAAGAAACCTTTTTTATTCTTTTGAGCTATTTAGAGCTTATAGCAATTGGGTAAAATATGCTTTTGTGAGTAAATGGAGACATTAACCTTTCTCTCTAACTTATTTCTCCAGAATTTAGAAATTCTGAATTTCTGAGTATTCTCATTTTATGGTAATATAGTTATTTGCATAAGTTTAATAAGAATCTATTTTCTTTTTGCAACAGGAGCTATTTTACCAAGGTTTTGACTGCAATGGCATATTCTCATATATAACCAGACGGCTTTGAGCAATTAAGTTGACATTATAAAGCCAACAGGTTTGAAAAAAGACTGGTCCAGTATAGTACAGTACTTTACACAGTTCCCTGACAAGGTTCCTCTCCTGTGGTGAGAATCTCACTTTCTGACAGACCTAGAAACCTCAAGATATTTTGAGGCCTTGAGAAGAAAGGCATTAACTCTATTCATATAGGTGTTATAGGCACAGGTGTTGATGGCAACTTCTTGGGCTTGGCTTCCTAGCCTTGACAGGCTTTTAGAAGTCTAATCTGAGATTCCTTATGAAAAAGTTCCAGCAGAGCCAATTAAAGGAGGCTGAATTAGCCGGGCATAGTAGCACGCGCCTGTAGCTCCAGCTACGTGGAAGGCTGAGGCGGAAGGATCGCTGGAGCCCAGCAGGCGAGGCTGCGGTGGCCGGGAGCGGCCACTGCACTCCAGTCTGGGTGACCGAGTGAGACTCCAACTCAAAAAATAAAAATAAGAAAATAAAAATAAAAATAAATAAAATAAAAGGAGCCTGTGTGGCTATCTTCTTGGAGTACTCTGCAAATAATCAGGCCAAGTATCATAATACTAAACTTATTTTACAAATAAATTGGTTCTACTACAATTATCTTTGTCAAGGTTGGAGGGACTAAAAAGAGAAAAATGATGTTTCAAAAGCACATCTGTGATTACATTCTAGCCCTAACCACTGTTTGAGCTTTTATTATTTGACCAAAGTGTGGACCGAATCTTGAATTATTTCCTGGCTTCAAGTCTCTAAAGAAGAATCTGGATATAATTTCCTTCATAATGTTTTTAGTCGGAGTTATTTTTTGTTGCTGTTCTGGCATATAAATTCTCTTTTTCATTACAATCCTTGTGTGCATTGTATTTCTATTATTTGAATTATTGGTGCTACGTATCTCTCATTGTTCTGTTTATTCCCAAAAAAACCAAAATGATATCCCAAAGACAAGAGATAATTATTTTTTTTGAGTTGGAGTCTCACTCCATCACCCAGACTGGAGTGTAGTGGCATGCTCACGGCCACCCCAGCGTCAACCAGCTGGACCCGGGAGCTCCTTCCACCTCAGCCTTCCAAGCAGCCAGAACTACAGGCGTGCGCTACCACGTCTGGCTAATTTTTTGATTGACTGTAGAGACGAGTTCTCGCCAAGTTGCCCGGGCTGGTCTTGTACCCGCGGGCTCAGGCAGTCCACTCACCTCAGCCTCCCAAAGTGCTGGAATTACAGGCTGAGCCACCGAGACAGGCTGACTAGAGACAATTTAATAAGTGACAGCAGCTATACAAATCAGTGACTTCACTGAGGTCTCATTTTTGCCACTCTGTGATGCCATCGCAATTTGGGTTTTGGATACTTAAAATTTCTCACTGAGACGCCTCCTCCTTTCCCCCAACACAGAGCTATCTGAGAATGAGCCTTCCTTGCAACAAAGGGACACTTTGACGCTCAGGCTTTGATCATCAATGCGTTCACAAAAAAGTATTTTTTGACCAAAAGAGGGAAATGAGGAAGAAAATGAACTTTTAATCTGAGGAATACAAGCTCCCTTAATTATCACACCCAGGGGGGCACTGAAATGCAACAGCAGTCATGTCTCACACCTCCTTGAACTAAATAATTACCTCTAGAAGCCACATGCTATGCAGGCTCTAGACTAACTGCTTTTATGCTAAGTAGCCACAAAATGCCATACCGTACAGATGAACAATGTACAGACAGCCACTAAATGTTACTTCTTGAACCAGGGAGAATTCCTGTCAAACAACTTTGTATGAGCCCATCCCTGGTTCACTGTGCCTTTGAAAACCAGCTTATAATAGAGACTGAGGGAGCACTCCCCAGAGCAACCTGGAAGTGTGTCCCTGGCAGCCATCCTCAACCTTGGCCCCAATAAACTCTCTATATTAGTTTTGCTTCCATTGCTTTCTTTAGGTTGACAACAGTGAAAAGACAGAAGGAAAATCCCTCACAGTCAACAGACCAGACTTGATCACTGACTGTGTTTTCACCTATGCCCCTGGTGAGTGCTGTCTCCCGATCCCTAGCCCCTCTGAATTATCAGAAGCCAAAACAGAGAGTCTCCTGAAGATCAGGAAATGAGACATCCAGCCTTGGCCACAGATGCACAGCTCTACACAATGGTGCTGAGAAGTTCAGACACAAGTGTGCATCGCCTTCCTTCTTCTGAAACTATTCAGGTGAAGAGCTCTTCCACACAGAGTTGGTATTAAAGTCATGCATGCATTGGAATAGTTGTATCTTTTTTTGGTCTCATTTGTGAGAAAGAACAAAATACTAGATATAACATATATGTGTTCAACACATATGATGGGGATAATGAACATTTTCTTGATAGTCAGAAGGCCCTTATAGTTTTGAGAATCTCATAACTAATTTTTTAAAATCTGCATTTTTATTCAGTGTGCTATGTCTACATATTATTCTATTCTATTATATTACCCTCTGTATCCCAAATATGACTTTGAGGTACATTTAATAAAGATTAGCCAGATCAATAAAATTAACATGTCATGTGGCATTCTCAGATCATCTTGGGAGGACCAGAGAGCATCTAAAAATTACTAGCAGATGGACTTCTTCAACAAGTAATGCTCTTCTCTCCAAAGTCTGGCTCCTCGGCCAGGCACAGTGGCTCACGCCTATAATCCCAGCACTTTGGGAGGTGGAAGCAAGAGGATTACCTGAGCCCATGGGTTCGAGACCAGCATGGGCAACTTGGTGAGACCTCATCTCTACCATAAATAAACAAACTAGCCAAGCATGGTGGCACATGCCTGTAGTTCTAGCTACTTGGAGGCTGAGGTGGAAGGATCACCTGAGCCCAGTGGGTCGAGACTGCGGTGGCCGTGAGTGTGCCACTGCACTCCAGCCCAGGCGACAGAGTGACACTCCAACTCAAAAAAAAAAAAAGTCTAGCTCCTCAAGAAATTTGTTCATTAAGTATTAATGAAGCTGCAGTTCATTAATAATGACATGGACTATCTTATTTAAACTTAACTATAACATGCATTGATTCATTCATCAACCCAAACATCTTTGCTGAGTTTCAGCAACATGTGAGTCCACAGGCTTCCTGTCCTGCAGGTGAGTAAAACACCATCACCCAAGAAAACTGCTTTTGGGATCAAATATGGAAGCACAGAGTCAATCATTTCAGTGCATACTGATAAGCTTCCTTTTGCATGAAGGAATTAATATTAAATATAATTATTTAGAAAAATCCCAAATAGGTTGCATATAAACATCTCAAGAAACAGTTTTTCCATGACACAAAATCACGTGTGTACTTAATCCATTACCTTACTACTGCTTCTTCTATTAACTTTGAAAAATCCCAGAAATCTTTTCTTCTCTTTATCTGTCTCATCATTGCCAAGGGATGATTTTCTAAAGGTTTCTGAAAAAAAAAAGAAAGTACAAAGTTATTTTTCAGCATTTGAAACAAGAGATTAAGTATTGCACTTAAAAATTCTTAATAAACGAATACTCAGCTCTTAAACTCTTAGTTCCTGTAAGAAAAGAAAACCATCAGCTATTTCTTACAAAGCCTTCTGAGCCATTTGAAAGCCTTCAGGCCCATTTAAGAAATCACTAGAAATTCGCACAGGCTTTTAGAGATTATGACAGCATTTCCTCTGGGTGTGGTTGCAAAATGAAAAAACAAATAAATCAGCAAAAGTTCTAGGGCAGCACTGTCCATTGGAAAGCTAAAGTGAAGAACCGTGTATGTAATTTTACATTCTCTAGTCACTGCATTAAGAAGAACCAGGTAAAATCATTGCTAATAACAACTTCATTTAATCTAATATACCTATCGCATAATCACTGTAAGAGTTTCAATGGGCTATTTTATATTGGTTTTGGTGCTAGGTCATCAAAATCCATGTGCACCTTGGGATCACAGCACACCTCAGCTTAGACTGGCCACAGGCAAGCACCAAGAGGCCACATGTGGTCTGTGGCTACCTGTTGGACAGCACAGCTGCAAGACTGTGACATCAGTGCAAAACATCTGCTTTAAGAACAATATGAGGTACAAACACTAAAATGAAATACATCAGACACCTTCTTGCTAACACCCAGAACACGAAATAACCAAGATGGGCTACTCAGGCAGTATTTGAAACAATCACATCAGGTCTTCTAGGATGCACATTTCCAGAGTTTCATTACATTTCAAATGTACATTCTGTTATGGGCAATTGTTTTCTTCTTCTTTTCCTTAATTTTCAAACCTACGACCTTCCTTTCTTGGTATTTTCTTCATCAGAATTTTACAGCAGGATGGGTCCTCTGAGAGTCTAGACAAGGACCCTGAAGCCCAGATGTGTCAGGCAGCTGTCAAAATAGCCAAGGGCTGTGGTTCCCAAAGCCAGGTGGGACTGGAAACTCAAGACAGGCGAATCCTCAGGTCCCCTCCAGACCTCTGGAATCAGAAGCCCTGGAGTCGGGGCCCAGCACTGGGCAGCTTAACAAACCCCCTGGGGATGCTTAAGCTGAGGGTCTGGAGAATGCACTTCAGAGCAGTGGTGGAAAGTGCCTGTGTGCAAGACATACTTGGGCAGACTGCTTAGCCTTGATGTCACCATCTGCAGACTGGGGGCCTGTGCCTTGAGGGACTTGCTCGATGCCTGGGATACTCAGCTCCATGACTACTGTTTGTTGTTATTCATTTGCTTAGCCACTATTTTGTTCCATTCTTCTCTTCAAAGGTACCCAGATATAACAAGAGGAAGAAAAATGTGGGTACTTGCGAAGGACAGGAAAATGGATTTTCCCATATCACTGCCAACTGCTAGAGAGTCCGACCTCCAGTCCGTTGCGGGCAAGTCACAGGTTGGGATTTTATAAACTCTGCCAGCAGAATATCAACCCAAACAATGCAAACATCAATGAACTTCTCTACCTGCTAATATATTGTTTCATATTTGAATTAGAGAATAGACATAAAAGGAACATATGCATGAATACTAACAGTGTCCATCCAACAAAGCCAAAGTTCCTTCGATCTCTCCGTAGGACAAAAGCGAACATCCCAGTCACAAAGGCAGAGCCAGGGCTCTCAACGGCATGCGAGAGGCTCTGGTTGAGGAGAGTAGCGGGCACCACAGCACACAACAGCCACCTCGACAGGATGCAGTTACACAGCTAGGTGCATGCATACACTTTCAAAGTTAGTCACATCAAGCTCTCTATCAAGTGTAAAGAGGAAAATATACCACAGAGTAAACTATACCTAAAGTATAGTGTGCCTTAAGTATATGTGCAACCTATGATGTTTCTAGAATTGAGTGGTATGTGATATGGATATAAAGACGTTCCTTGATTAACAACGGGACTGTGTTTTCAATTTACAGTGGGTTCTCCAGACGAAGCCCCATCATTAAATTGAAGAACATACCAGACGTGTGTCACTTTTGCACCATGGTAAAGCCAAAAAATAGTAAGCAAAAAATAGTAAGCTGGGATACTGTCTATATTAAAATGGATGGAATTACATTATTCTACAGATAAACAGGAGATGGAACATATTACTGGTGCACAACGACCACACAAATGATAGACTGGATCAGAACACTGCAAGGAAATCAAGCTTCTGCTTCTCTCCCTGAATGGGGACAGTGGCCAATCACCTCTAAAGGACTCAGGCCAGTCCTTTAGATCACCTCTAAAGGACTCAGGACAGTCCCAGCAATGAAGGCTTAGGCACAGCCCTGGCACCAGAACTGACTCCCGATAGTAGGAGAGATGTCCTGTAAGATGTATCGGAGCAACAACTGACAAGGAACATGAAAGTGGCCTAGGCCATGACTCTCTTAGATGCTCCATCCTCATGACTGTAGTCCAGACCAATACTGAGTTTTCTTTCATTCTTTTTTTTTGGAGTTGGAGTCTCATTCTGTCACCCAGGCTGGAGTGCAGGGGCACACTCAGGGCCACCCCAGCCTCGACCTGCTGGACTCCGGCAATCCTTCTGCCTCACCCTTCCAAGGAGCTAGAACTACAGGCATGTGCTACCACACCCAGCTAATTTTTTAAAAATTTATTGTAGAGATGAGGTCTTGCCAAGGTGCCTGGGCTGGTCTTGAACCCGCGGGCTCAGGCAATCCACTTGCCTTGGCCTCCCAAAGTGCGAGGATTACAGGTTGAGCCACCAAGCCCAATCTCATTCATTTTTTTCTAGAAATAAAAAAGATGGTTAAATACTTTAACAAATGTGGACAAAACTTTCTGTAAAATACAAAGACTGACTGGAATTTTATTTTATTTTTATTTTTTTGAGTTGGAGTCTCACTCTGTCACCCAGACTGGAGTGCAGTGGCCGCTCCCGGCCACCGCAGCCTTGACTTGCTGGGCTCCGGCGATCCTTCCGCCTCAGCCTTCCAAGTAGCTGGAACTACAGGCGTGCGCTACCACGCCCGGCTGATTTTTGATTTATTGTAGAGATGAGGTCTTACTGCCCAGGCGGTTCTTGAACCCATGGGCTCAGGCAATCCACTCACCTCAGCCTCCCAAAGGCGCGGGTTTACAGGCTGAGCCACCGAGCCCGGCTCCGACTGGAATTTTAATGAAACTTTTATAGTGTGTGTGTGTGTGTGTGTGTGTGTGTGTGTGTGTGTGTGTGTATACTTAAAAATTCCATTAAAATCCCAATGTATATATGTGTGTGTGTATATAGGTACATATTTATATGCTTATGTGTATGTAAGGGTAAACGTGTATGTATGCATCTCTCTATATCTCTCTATATAATACATATGGATATAAAGATCTAAAGATCTCTCTCTATATATATCAGAGCTGATAATGCTTTCATATTTATGCATTTTTTGTCATATATATGTATATATATATATATAGCCAGTCCTTTGAATCTATCTATATCTCTATATACTTATATATCTATATCTATATATAGAGAGAAACTTCTAAGAAATAGGTGTAAGAATAAATGCAAAATCTGGACTAATCATTTGTATACTTGTCTATGATAGAAAAAGTTAAATTTCAAAACCCATAGTGTTCTGCAGCATGCAGGATGGAACTTGAGGCGAGCACAGGCAGAGGTAAAAAGGAAATGGTGCCTTTTCTGCATGTACCACTTCAGCTCTGCCCTGAAGTTTTGGGCAACAGAATTTGTTTCTCCCACGGTTTCCCTCAGTTCTTACCACACAGCAAATTCTCACACAAGGAGCATTCTTCTCTGAACCAACTGGAAACCGAAAACCCAAACCATCACCTCAGGTCAGCCTGACAGGCATCCCCAGAGGGGTCTCAAGTCACACTCTCATTCCTTCAGGTCTGGCACACAAATGTTGCCCCTGTGCATCTCCGAGCCCAGAGCCATGCAGAGCGCAGCCTCCCAGAAGGAGCAGGAAGCCCCAAGCTCACTGTACCTCGACAGCTCAGGGAAGGCTCAGACTGAGTTTTGCTCAGAAGAACTGGAAAAGGCAGGCAACGAGAGAGTGAGGACCAGTTTGGAAATCTGCAGGCGCTCCCAACCCAAGCCCGGGGCCCTCACAAGCCTTGGGTAGGGGGTGTAGGGGCCATGGAAATAAGAAGGCCCCGTGCAGGGCTGGCCTGCGTCTGTGGGCTCATACACCCAGGGCTACAGCTGCTCTGCCTGCTAAGAGCTACTGTGGACACAGGTGGCAGCAAAGCCTTTGGTTTTTTGAGGCTGGAACCACCAGCAACTCCAGAGCAGGGTGGGCCTCTGCCTACCAACGTCTGCCAGCCTCCCTCCTGTTCTCCAGCCTTGCAGGCCTCAGGAAGGGATGCCTTCCCTCCAAGAGTAAACCCAGAGGAGCAAAAGAAAGGCTTCTCCAGCGGCACCCCCGCAAGCCTGCCCAGATGAGCTGCAAGAGAGAGGGGGATTTTCAGTGATCCTTCAGAGGCCTCTGTTCTCAGGTATCTGGTGGTGAGCCTGAGGAAGGCATTTGGTGATGGCAATCAAATATATCACAACTGTCATGGCGCAGGCACAGTCCAGATGAAAGGGATGCTGGCCACAAGGCTGGAGCAGGGCCTCCACAGTGAAGGGATAGCGTGGAGCCTGGGGACAGGATGGGGAGGGCCGTAATGCTCAAGGCAGAGGAGAAGTGGACTCGGGGGCTTGGGAGCAGCAGTTTCCACCAAGGGCAGAAGTGCCTCAAAGTCTGAACAGCTAGGTTGACTGCCCCAGTGCGTTCTGATGCTCTGCCCTGGGAGTGGATGAGCAGAGATGCGCCAGGCCTGCCCCAGCCACACTGATCACGTCACCTCTTGTGTTTCAGATGACTGTGGGTGTGCTTGGATCCTATCCCAACAGAGAGGTAGATTTTGCATAACCCCCCAGGCAGCAGGTTTGTCATCCACCTTTCAAGATATATCCATGTGTTGACATGCAGCAGAGACGCTTGTTTGGGTAAGACTCTTTCTTTTGGATACCTAAATGTGGAACAGTTTTTCTTTTCTTTTTTCTTTCTTTTTCTCTTACTGAATTAAAGCTGTTTCCAAAAAGTCACATAAGCCAGATATAAAGAGAGCTGATATAACCAGACAGACACATCCATTGCAAACAGACCTATGTAGTAGAAGCCGAGAGTATTTTTGTCTGCATTTTAAAAAGATACTGGATAAAACACAAGATGTATTATTCTAAAATGTCAGAGCACTTTTATTTAAAGGAACAAATAGTCCGTGTATCTTAAACTCAATTGAGCTAAGACTCTCTTGAATGTCAAATCAGATCTAGGACCCAGATCCCAGGAAGACATGGGCTGATGGAGGGGTGCAAAGCTGACTGGACAGAAATTTCACTATGATCCTAGATTTCACAGTAAATTTTGTAATAAGAAAAATACATTACTGGAAGAAATTAGGGAAAAAACTAGGATAAATGGATTTACTTATTTACTTATTCAGCATTTGTGGAATAAGTAAAACAGAGGTAACAGATATCAAATGAGCCTCATTAGAATAGAAACTTTTATAAAGCCCATTTAAATAATTCTAAGGTCAAGGGATATAAAATATTTTCTTTTGCCTGACAATTTAAAAAATATAATCAGTCCTTTGTATCAATAAGAAAGATGTGCTTACATGCGTATTGGTCTCTGCACCAACATAGTCTCTGACATCCACGCTCACCAGTGGTTCTAACTGTGCCCTCAAGCTCAGCACCAAATTTGCCCACTGAGTAGTCTCTAGCAACAACAAGAAGGCCTGAGATGGCACGGAAGTTCACTTAGGGGATGGATTCCATGCACCCTAACTATTCTGTTTCAGAGGACAGCCAGATGCATTCTTGTGACTGGTTTTAACAAAAGCAATGTCTGAAATCTGGGAGCAGCTAATGGCAATGGAAAAGGAAAATCAAGAGGATATTGCAAAGGGATTTTGAGTAGTTACTTTAGATATAGGGTCTAATCTCTCCTCACTGTTTTTCCCCCTCTTACTTATATCATGGAAATTCACAGGTGGCAAAGGGTAAAGGACACGTTCAGAGCTGAAAGGAAGAGTAATAATGAACAAAAACCAGCGGAATTTTCTTTTTGCCTATTTCAACAGTGGTCTGCCTGAAACTCATGAGCTCATCTGTACCTGGCGCTACAGCCAACAGTCTACAGTGGCCACCTCCTGTCTGTGCTGCCATGGCAGGGACGCAAGACACAGCATGGCCTCACCCCTTCTGTTGTCCCACGCGTAGAGCTCCTTGATGCCCAGCTCGTTCAGGGACTTAGACAGCTCCAGCTCCTCCCCGGCAATGTTGTCCCTGAGGAGGACCACGTGCTCTGGGCTGACCTCACACTTCGTGCAAATGACCGGGAGAATATTCCGGAGAGGTACCTCTGGGCTCACACGTACGACAGCTTTTTGCGTCCGCAGGTAATTTACTACCAAACGCACAGATTTCTGGAAGAACACACAGACAGAAAGAATGCTGTAAGTAGTCTTCCCACAGTGCCTTCAACTTCTTTGTCAGTTCTAGAATTGAATGTGGCAGGATCTTGTGTATGAAATATCCCTTTCACAGATGTATTAAGGGGGAAATGGCATAATAAGTAGTGAAAAATAAATGTCTGGAATAATAAATTTACCTTAGAATATCTCTTACTAGTAAACAAGCTGCTAACAACACAGGTAAATGAACATCATTAAGGGCTCTACATTTAAAATCCATCATTCAAGGATTCTGGCCAGATGTGGACACAATACATCTACACATATATTCTCTAAAAGAAAATAGCTTGGAAGTAGTATGAGTAATTTAATTTTTGAAAATCCCTCAAAAACATGACACCAGATTTTTGTTTACAAAGTTAAAGTAGCCACATAAATACATGACATACATACACATATATGTATACCTATATAAGTACATATGCTATATATATGCACTATATAAATACATACTTAAAACACATGCACATAGTGTGTACCCAGACTTATGTATATTTACATAGTACACACTAAACACATAGATTTTTTTTTTTTAGTTGGAGTCTTACTCTGTCGCCCAGGCTGGAGTGCAGTGGCATACTCATGGTCACCCCAGCGTCGACCTACTGGGCTCTGGAGATTCTTCTGCCTCAACCTTCCAAGTAGCCAGAACTACAGATGTGTGTTACCACACCCAGGTAATTTTTTATTTATTGTAGAGACAAAGGCTCACCAAGTTGCCCAGGCTGGTCTCGAACCAGTGGACTCAGGCAATCCACTCACCTCTGCCTCCCAAAGTGCCGGGATTACAGGTTAAGACACCAAGACTGGCTACACATAGATATTTTAAGCTAGAAATATTTTATTTTTTTAAAATACCAGACATATAACAATCAGGAAGAAAAACACTCAATAGACGGATATTGATTCTAAATGACTACAGAAAAAATGTTCCATCAAAATAATTGAATATACAAAGCTTCACCTGGTTGATTTTTATTCCACTTTGGCTGATCACTCAAGTTGTATTAAGACACTACAGAGGTGGACACAGTAAACATGGACTGAACAAAAGGGCAGCCAAGGAAGGCCTCTGCCCCCTTCCAATCTGAGAGTCAGGACTTGGGGGCTGGGATAATGATGCATTTGAGAAGGAAAGCTAGAACCCGCTGCTCCTTGACCCTGCCGCTTCAAGCAGAATCATACATCTAACATAGGACTCCCCCCCAAAACCGGAATTATCTTTTGGATGGGGGACTCCTTGTAGTATAGGCTTCCCTTGCTAGGTTAGTGTTCTGGGAACCCACCGGCATCAGTGTGCCAGCTAGCATTGTGGTGACAGGCTGCGTTTGGCTTCGGTGAATTCTTTTTGGAAATTCTTTCAGTGCATTTGCCCATTTCATGAAGGGTGATTCCCATGAACAACCTGCCCACACTGCCCTGAGTGTTCAGCAGTTTTTGACCCCAAATGGCACGACCCCTGTGCCCCACCCTCCCTACTCACTTGGTCTCACCCCAAGTAATTTTTTCTGTTTGTTTCCTCAGATGAAAAAAGTTCTCAAAGGGAAACATTTTGCCAATGTGGAAGAGGTGAAAAGAAAAATGGCAGAAGCACTGAAAGGCATCAAGACATACAAGTTCAAAAACAGTCTTGAGCAGTGGAAAAGGCGTCTGGATAAGTGTCGTGTATCAAACAGAGAGTATTTTTAAGGTGACAAGTTCAAACATGTAAGAAATATGCAATTTTTAAATAAATAAATTCCAGGTTTTGGGGGGGTCCCTCTTATATACCTGGGCTCAGCTGCACCTGGGGAACAGGACTTCAAGGGAAGTCACAGGGTAAACATGGGGTTCCTCTGCCTCAAACATTGAGAATAAGGGAAGTCTCTTCTGGACAGAGTATAGGATGGCAACGATTTGAATTTATTAACCAACCAAACCCAGAAATAAATAGGAGATGGTCTCATGGTTGGATTACCATTTTTAAAAGCAGAAAAAATTATATCTGCCTAGAGCCTACCTAAAAGAATAAAGTAGCAGCATAGCTTTTAATTGAAGCTAAAAGATCCATACTAAAACCTTATTAAAAAGTACAATAAGCTCCTGGAATTAATTTTAATTAATAATGAAAAGCCCGGAATAAACCTATGTATATAAGCTATTCTCCAAATGCAGTGCATAAATATTTCTGACATCAATTTTTCAAAAGGAAAAATCCTTATTTTTTTCCTCATTCTGTGAGCAGATATTCAAATTCTCTGTAGATTTCAACTGCTTCCTGGATCAGAAACAATTCTAGAATTGCTCTGTCCAACAGGGTAGGCACTGGCTACTTGTGGCTATATATATTTGCATGAATTAAATTAAATAAAATAAAAAACTCAGTCTTTCAATCACTTCGGCCACATTTTAAGTGTTCAAAAGTTATGTGTTGATTAAAAAGAAAAAGAAAAAAACTTACACAAATATTTTAGATATTTAAGTTACAGTAAACATACAAAATAAAGAAAAAAGAAAAAAAGCTACACATGGCCAGTAGTTAGCTATCATAGTGAAAAGTATAGAATGATAGACCATGTCCCTCTTTGAAGGAAGTTCTAATGGATGGCTCTGCTCTAGACTAATTCCTCATCTATAATGCATAAAGGAGCAATGTTACAACAGTAAACAATATTAAATTCTGTCTCTTAAAATAAACTCAGTTTAGTGCCTAACTTTGCCTAGCATGGAAGTAGAAACATCAGCCATAGCTCTCCGCATGTCTTAGACAAGAAGAGCCACACTGGCCCTTACTCAGTACCTCCCACTCAGACACAGGTATCTACATGTAGGTACCTACTGACCTCAGGCACCTTAGGTGGGCCAGGTTTAACCTTCTCTTCGGGAACTTTTTCTTTCAGAAACACGGTGTGCACATTCAGGGTCCCAACTAAAGTATTTGGCTTAAAACTCAAAGGCTGTTGGGTTTCTGAAGACCGGATTTCAAGGGCATGGTGGGATGGATTCAGGTGGTTCTGAAGGCAAAGTTCAACCAGTAGGTCCATCATTGCATGGCTGAAAAAAAAAGAGAAAGCAAGTCATGATTATTAGGAATGTCTGCACTCTCCATTTTGCCTAGCTAAATAAGAGAAGAACAAATGAACAAGTGGATGAATGAGCAAATTAGATGTGCCTGTGAACAAAGACAATGGCAGTTCATTAATTCTCTATGCATGATTGTAGAGCAATGTGTTAACATTTTTCAATACTAATGAACAACAATACTGAACAAGCAAAACCATAATAGCTCGGAAAATAGTTATATTTCTACTTAAATCCATGGGTAACAGACCTTATATGAAGTCTGTTAGCACAAATAATATTTATATGGGTACAATACATTGCATTTTCGTTTATTCATAAATACGATGTGTCTTAAAAATGAAGTTTTATTTTTTAAATTTTTTAAAACTAAGTTTTAAGTTGAAGAAGTCAACCATTTTCTTTTCAGCTAAAACAAAAAATTTTTAAAGATAAATAAGTACCACAAAATAATTATCTTTTTCAAATGCCAAAAATTTTCATAATGTTCCTCCATCACAAGTAATTATTGTTACAAAGGAGGGTAGTAATAATTCAGACTATCACAAAGAAAGGAAAATTTCTTTCTACAAATTTTACTTTTTTCTGGCAGAATTTTTTTTTTCTTTGTGGGGAGAATCTCATTCTGTCACACAGGCTAGAGTGCAGTGACACAATTATGGTTCACCACAGTCTCAAACCCTGGGGCTTAAGCAATCCTCCCACCTCAGCCTCCCAAAATGCTGGAATTACAGATGTTAGTCACCTCACCTGGCCAGAATGCTTTTTATATTTAAAGTTGAACTTTCTTTTCCTACAAATTTCCCAAAAAGTTGAGTACAGATTTTTTTCTTTTATTTCTTAATAAATAACTTACATGGAAATTATTGTAGGACATAATTATGGTTTCCAGATGTCACCAAGTAAATATCTGAAGACTGGGAACTTATAGGGTACCTGTAAACCCACAGGTGTGAGTGATGTCAGTAAGATAGGAGCACAAGAGTTCTCCAGCTCATGTATCCCACAGAAAAAATGATATGGTAGGAGCTTTGCCTCTGCAGGAGCTTTGGGATCGATATAGAAAATTGTGAAACCCCAATGGAACCCTAACTTGAGGAAGAGCACCTTGAGGAGTCATGCTCACATCCTGATGTCAAGCTTCCAGACTTTGGCACCAGCTGTGAACTCAAAGCAACTCTATGCCCCTGTGGACTCAGCTTCAGTCCCACATAGCTGTAGTCCTGCCAAAAGTCCCATCTGTCATATCTTGGGAGGAACCATGCCAATCAGTGTCCCAGAAAACATGCCTACTGACCTCAGACCCAACTGCTGATACTTAAGTAGCCATGTCACCTGGTTCCAGCTCATTTACTATGGCCTTGAGTCAGTCTTGCCTTTCCAGAGATCCAATGGAAGACATGCTTATTTTTGCCCCTGGTGGCAGGTCATTCAAACTCAGTCCCAGCTGTGGACTCTAAGCAGCCATGTTACCTGGCTCTACCTTCACTTGACTGAGATACCAGAGGCAATAATATCTTTAAAGATTTGTCAGGAGTAGGTCTTTACCAGCAGTAACTTGTCTGTAAAGACTGGAAAAGATGTTTGCTACTTCAAATGCAGACATGAACATAAGATTTCTTGGGGTACAAAGAATAAGGCAAACAGGACACCACAAAAGGAAACTAGTAAAACCCTTGCAACTAAACCAAAAGAAGTGGACATCCTTAATTTGCCTCAACAAGAATCCAAAATCATTTCAGAGATTCAAGGGAAGGCACATTTAAAAACTAAACTAAATCAGAAAAACAATATATTAACAAAATGAGAAATTAAATAAAGAAATAGAAACAATAAGAAAGAACCAAATAGAAATCCTGGAGCTGAAGAATACAATGACTGAACTGAAAAATCCAATAGGAAACTTTAATAGAAAACTTGATCATGTTGGAAAAAGAATCAGTGAATTTAAAGACAGGGAATTTGAAATCAACCAATTAGATGAATAAAAACCAAAAAAAAGAATAAAAAAGAGTGAAGAAAGTTTATGGGACTTATGAAACACCATCAAATAAAGAGACAGAAAGTCTATTTAAAGAAATAATGGCAAACATCTCCCGAAATCTACAGAGGGAAATTGGCATAAAAAAAGCCCTAAGATCTCCAAAGATATTAACCCAACAAAAACCACACTGAGACACATTATAATTTGTCTCAAACATTATGCTTTGTCAGAAGTAACAGAAAAAGAGAGAATTTTGAAAGCAGCAAGAGAAAGGCAACTTGTTACATATAAGGGAAACACCACAAGACTAAGCAGAAACCTTAAAGATTGGGACACAATGGTGATGTAAGAAGAAGAAAAAAACAAGAATATTTTATCCAGAGAAACTGTATTTTAAGGGTGAAGGAGAGATAAAAGTCTTTCCCTGGCAATAACTTGAAAGTTAGTCACCACTAGACCTGTCTTACAAGAAGTAATAAAATGAAAAGATGGTAGACAGCATCATGAAAGCATATGAAAATATACATCTCATTGATAAAGGTAAATGCAGAATTTTATAATACTTTAATGGTGCATGAAAATCATTTAAACACTAGTACATAAAGTAGAAGACAAATGTAGTCAGAATAGAGCCCTAGGTATTTGCTAATGGAAACACAATATCAAAAAGTAAAATCTGACAGCAATTACATAAAGTTGGAGAGGTGAGTAAAGTGTAGAGTATCTGTATATTATTGAAGTTAAGTTGATATCACCTTCAAACACACTACTATAACCACAAAATATTTTGTGTAAACTCCATGGTAACTAAACACACACACACACACACACACACACACACACACAAAGCACACACAATGTTGAATAGACAAAAAAGAAAAAAGTATCAAAGTATGCCACTACAATCATCAAACCACAAAAAACAAGAGAAGATAACTATAAAAACGACAGAAAACAATTTTTAAAATGACAAGAATAAGTTCTTACCTATCAATAATTATTGGAAATTCAAATGAACTCACCAATGGAAATAAATTGAGTAGATTAATTAAAAAATAATCAATTATATGTTGTTTATTAGAGGCTCACTTTTGATTTAAAATACGCATGGGCTAAAAATGAAGTGGTAAAGATACTCCATTCAAATGTTAAAGAAAAGAGAACAGAGGTAGCTACACTTATATCAGACAAAGTAGACTTAAGCCAAACACTGTCACAAGAGACAAAGAAGGCCATTATATCATGAAAAAAGAAGATTCAACAATTATAAATATATATATATATAAACACCTACATATATAAAGAGCAGACATTAATAAATCCAAAGGGAAAAATAGCAATACAATAATAAGAAGGGGCTTCAATATTCTACTCTCTATAATGAATAGACCACTCAGACAGAAGATACATAAGAAAACAGAAGAAATGAACAACTCTGTAGATCAAATGGTCCTAACTCACACACATATATATAACTCTTCTCCCAACATCAGAAGAACACTAACTCTTCTCAAGAGCATATGAAACATCCTTCAGGATATTTATCATGTTAGATATCAAGATAAGTCTTAAAAATTTTAACAGGATCAGAATTATTCCAAGTATTTTTTCTAGCCACAATGAAATCGAGACAGCAGATAGCTAGAGAAAGGCTAGGCAGGCAAACAGGGCGGGTCCTCCAGTAACAATGTAGCAAAATTCTAGCAGGCCTCTCAGGCTCAACTTTGGCAAACAAGTTCCCTGCAGCCTCTCAAGTTAGAGATTAAGTACTCACTGCTGGGATTGAACATCAACCAATCAGCTCGCTGCCAAGTACTGACCAATCAGCTTACCATTAGGCCCCTACTTCTTGCCAATTGGTCCTCAGTATTGACCAATCAGAACAGCTAGTGTTGACCAATCAGTGCACAGCTATTGCTAGCCAATTGACTCAGTCTTAGGGCTATATAAGCACCAGGTTTCAGCCCTAAACTGGCAACTCCTTTGGGTGCCCTCCCATTGTGAAAGCTTTTCTGTCCTGTCAATAAATCCTGCTTTCTCACTTTCCAGCTATTGGTGTCCCTCATTCTTCCTGGGCATGGGACAACAACCTCACCCTGAAAAGTTGCAGAAGCTTGTCAACCTTAAGAGCTGCAGAAGAGCCGGGCTCCACGGCTCAGCCTGTAATCCCGCGCCTTTGGGAGGCTGAGGCTAGTAGATTGCCTGAGCCCACAGGTTCGAGACCTACCTGGGTAGCGAGACCTCATCTCTACGATAAATCAAAAAATCAGCCGGGCGTGGCAGCGCATGCCTGTAATTCCGGATACTTGGAAGGCTGAGGTAGAAGGATCGCTGGAGCCCAGCAGGTGGAGGCTGCGGTGGCCAGGAGCGGCCACTGCACTCCAGTCTGGGCAACAGAGTGAGACTCCAACTCAAAAAAACAAAAAACAAACAAACAAAAAAACCCTCCAACTCAAAAAAAAAGAGCTGCAGAAGTTCATTGAAGCTGAAGAGATGTGCACCCCAGAGGCTGGTTTGCTAGCCAACAGAGCCGACTGAACCAGGAGAGCTGCTGGAAGAAGGCAAGACTCCGAAGCTGAGATGCTCTGGGGACTTGGCTTACCAGCCCATGGAATCAGCAACACTCTCAGGGCTTGGCTTGCCAGCCCATTAGGGCTAACACTTCTGGGGTCAGGCCTACCAGCTCCTCGAACTGACCCTCTCTGGGGCTCAGCTGGCCAACCCATTGAGCTGACACTCTGAAAGCCCAGGCTGACCTGAAAAATCCATGTCAAAATGACACTAGCAATCATTAACAGTTAAAAGGCAAAAATACAAATACAGAATCTGCCTTCCATAGTATCAGTTACACAGTTTGAAAATAAATGGAAAATTTTAGAAATGAACAATTTACAAATTTAATCAGTGTGATGAAATCTTGCACTATCTCACCTCATCCTTCTTGGGACATGAATCATTGCTTTGTCCAGAGTATTTACACTATATACTC